CTCACTGTCCACTCATCCGACCCACACCTCCTAAGCTTGCTAACGAGGACATTATGAGAGACAGGGTCAAAAGCCTTGCTGAAGTCAGGGTAGACAACATCCACTGTTGTCCCTTCATCCACCCAGCTGGTCATGCCATCATGGAAGGCTATCAGATTGGTCAGGCATGATTTCCCCTTGGGGACTCCGTGTTGACTACTCCCAATAACCTTCTCCTCCACGTGCTTATCGATAACCCCCAGCATGAGCCGTTCCACCACCTTTCCAGGGATGGAGGTGAGGCTGACTGCCCTGTAGTTTCCCGGGTCCTCCTTCCTGCCCTTTTTGAAGACCAGACATTGGCTTTCCTCCCATCCTCAGGCACCTCTCCTGTCCTCCAAGATGGTGGAGAGCAGCCTGGCAATAACATCTGCCAGCTCCCTGAGCACTCATGGGTGCATCCCGTCATGACCCGTGGATTTGTGGATGTTGAGATTGCCTGGATGTTCTCTAACCTGATCCTCCTCGACCGAGGGAAGGTCTTCCTTTCGCAAGACTTTCTCTCCTACCTCCAGGGTCTGGGTACCCATGCCACCTCTCTTCCAGGATCCTGGGCATGTTCACATCGCAGCAATGGAAACATCTCAGCAACGATTTCCTGAAGACCCAGCAGGAGAAGCGGCACAGTTGGTTCAAGACGAGCGGCACCATCAAGAAGTTTCGTGCTGGCCTCAGCATCTTCTCCCCCATCCCCAAGTAAGACCCTGACGGTGTCCCCAAGGGAACCAACGCTCCGTCCCCTCACCCTGGGTGGCTGGGGACCTGGCGCCATGCCTCGGTTTCCCCACTCGCCCCTCGGACGCTGCCGCTCCCTACGAGAGCCCCGAGAGATGGAGGTTTCTCCCAAAAACCAGCCGAAGGGTGAATTCGGCGCTGGGTGACGGGGGAGTAGGGGACGGTGACAAACCGGGCAGCTCAGAGGGATTCTGTGCCCGCAGGTCTCCCAGCTTCCCCGTCATCCAAGATTCGGTGCTGAAGGGCAAACTGGGCATCCCCGAGGCTCGCGTCAACCGCCTGATGAACCTTTTTTTTTAGACCCCCAAGGTGGAGTTTTTTGGCTCCCCCCCCGCCAGCACCCAGGCAGGTGTCGCCCCCTTCAACATCCTGGTGGGTGCCTCCCCGCCTCGGGGTTTGCTTTCCTCTCCTTTCCCTTCCCGGATTCCCGGGAGCTGTCGCAGGGTCGGATGGCTTGTCGGGGAGTGGCGGGACCCCTTTGGGTTGAGGGGAGCCCTTGCGGGGCTTTATCCCCTGCGCCTTGTCCCCA